ACACAGTCCGCTTCAGCTCACGTGAACACCCTTCCTGCCACCCAGCCAGAGAGACTTTCCTTGCCCGCCCCCGGTACAGGCACCCAGTGATGTACAGTAGCTGTGGTAACTTGAAAGCATCAGATTGTGCTTGAGATAACTTGAACAGACAGATAACGCCAAGAGCTCCATGAGCCTGAGCCAGCAACGGCTAATTCTTGCGGCGCTTCTTTATGTACTGCTCTGTTATTTGTGGTTCCCAATCATCACAGGAATAACCTGAGTCTCACAAGTGGAAACCCTGCAGCTTGGAGAAAAGAATCCATACACCCCAGGCCTGGCCAGGCTCAGAGCTGTGAGCCCTCCCAGAAGCAGCCTTTCTTGTCCATGCCACCGACCCTCGTTGGCTATACCACTGCCCACCAGCCTAAACAGCACTGCAGAACAGAACTCTCATGCCATCTTCCTGCCAGGCACCTTCCCAGGCTGTGCTCAGGAGTGAAAGGAGAGTGCCTGCCCTCCCCCATACACACACCCTGCCCCTGGTCTAGCTGGCCTGGTCCCTGGCTACCTCTATCCTAGGCACAGCTCCAAGGAGAGCAGGACTGGCACAGTGCCCCTGTCTTCCAGTCACCCCAGGGAGAGAGCAAAGAGGCAGATCCAAAGTGACTGCGACAGACCCGCATCTACCAACATATGGAGGAGCCCCCAAGCTTACAGATGACCTCAGTGTCATCCTGGTTCTGGGCATGCTGGCCCTGGGGACAGAGCCGTGGGCTATTGACAGCACAGTTCTGGGAGCCACTGAGTGACACAGACCTCCCTGCACTATTGGTGAGGGCCAGGGGTGGTTTAGCCTGGGGTCAGAGTAGGCTGCAGCAGCGTGCCAGGCATGGAAGGGAGGAGAGCATGAGGCACATGGCCTGAGCCTGGGCAGGGAGTAGGCATCCACCAGGAGAGCCTCCAGAGGGATCTGGGAGCCATGTTGCCTTCAGGGCTGAGCCGCAGGTTGGAGGCTGGGGAGGAGGCTGCAGCAGATCAGGGACCCCGTGGAAAGAAGGGCCAGGGAGCTGTTAGGGTGAGAGCAGAGGCACTGCGCAGCTGCCCCAGTTGACCGCTGGCTCACTGCACCAGCTCTCCCGGGCCCACCACCCTAAGATCTAGGCCAGAGCATTGGCTGTTGACTTCGAGAGCAGTGGGGAAGCAGCTCTCTAGAAACCACTGCAGCCCAGCCATGTGAAGAGGGCCGGGATCCTCCAGCCCAGGGGTGTCCTGTAAACCCAGGCACATTCATAGAGGAACTGCCTGCTCCCAGCCTTAGCTCCAAATCTGCCTGTCCCATGCCATGTACAGAATTAATAAATGTAAGGCCAGACAAATAACTCAGCAGATGAAAGCACCTGCAAGCAGGCACAGAGGCCAGGGGTTCGATCCCCAGGCCTGCTGGCCCTACCCCCAGGGCATGCTGAGATGACAATTGAGACTGGGCATGGTGGTACTCACCTGTAATCCTGGCTCTTGGGAGGCTGTAAACAGGCGGATCACTTCAAGTCTGATCTGGTAGTGACACCATGAACACCCTATAGACCCTTCCTTAAAATACAAAAAAAAAAAAAAAAAAAAAGAATTAATTAATGTTTCTTAGAAAATCCCTTCAGAGCCCACCTGGGTCTGATTTGGGTCCATACCCAGCCCAGGGACATTTGTGGAGTGAAAGTAAGCCTTGCTCCCTCAGCAGTTTTCTCTGTGTTTGTTTGAGTTTCCCTTCAGTTTCTCAGGAAAAATGCCTTCAAAAAAATAGCATTGGTGGTTTAAAGGACTTTGCCCAGACTAAGTTAAAAAGAGAGCCAGGACCCAGAAAGAGGAAAGGCTGGGGCTTGCAGCTGCACATGGCTTCCTGCACACACTTTTCTGCATGGGGTGTCCCTTAGCTTCAGGGTTGGGTGCCCAAGTTCTGGCCTGAGCACCTCTACCCCCCACCTTGGGAAAGTAGCCTGGCCAAGACCTGGGCCACTGTCCAGCTGTGAGCTATCTACTTCTGTGAGGCCCCAGGCCTCAGTTTCCTCACTGAGGCCAGACTCACTACCCTTTCTTCCCTCTCAGACTGTTGTGAGGACAAAGGAGGCACTGATAGCTAGGCCTGCGAGACGCAACACTGCCCGCCCCTCATGAGAGACATTGCTGTTTTCTCAGGGCAGGCAGCAGAACCAGGACCCAAGGACCTGGTCTTTGGGTCCCAAGGACCCAAGACTGGGGGTGTCCTGGGGCTGCTGACAGCAGGGAAGAGGAGGTGTGCACTCTGGCCTCACCGACCTCGCTACAACAGGCTTGGAGGCCAGGGCCCTGCTGGTCAGGGGAAGGAAGAAGCCAGTTCCCGGGCCAGGAACAGGAAGGCAGGGGGAGTGCAGCAGAGGCCAGGATGACAGAGCTTCCTGCTGTGGGAAGGGAAGGACAGTGGAGACAGACAGCAGCCAGGCAGGAAGGATGCACCTTCTTCAGACTCCAGGTGGGGGCTGGGCAGTCACGGAGCACCCAGAAGCAGAGCCCTCAGGCCCTTAACTGCCAGTCTCCTGGGCTGCTGGGTTCACATTCTGTAAAGAGCCTCTACATTAAAGTTGGAAGCATCTTTTTCAAAGGAACAACAGGGTTTGACATAATTCCAACCTGAAGGAAGACCTCATGAGTCTATTTAGCCATCCACTTACCCTACCATCTATCCTTGCATCCATTCACCAATCTGTTCATCCATCTATCCTTCTGCCCATCTGCCTGCCCATCCATTCTTCCATCCATCCATTTGTTTAGTCATTCAACAAGTATTTCTTGAGCCTTTATTCTGTACCAAGTGCTGTACTAAGCAGCAAGTAAAGTAGAAAAGAGAACTGTCTTCATCCTTACACCACTGAAACGTACTCTCAGTGGAGAATGTAGAGAAACACCATGAAGCTGAGATAGATCCCAAGTTTTGTAAGGGTGAGGAGGTCACATCTATGCTGATGGCTGAAAATGGGAAGCCAGCTGTGCGGGGCCCCATAGAGGAGGCATCAGGAAGAGATGGTATATGCAAAGGCCCTGGGTTAGAAGAAAATGGTGTGCTGCAAACAATGTGGAGAAAATGAACTGAGATAAAAACAGATCACTCTCCAGGGTGTGGAGAACTGGGTGGAGGCCAGGCCTCCATCAGGGTCTAGATTTTCCTGAGCATACACAATGGAAAGCCACAGACAGGTTTTAAGCATGAGTGTAATGTGGTCCTTTTGCAATTTAAAAATATAACACTGCATGGAGGAGGAATAAAGGAGGGCAGAAGCAAGCCTAGTACCACCTCTGCCCCAAATATAGCTGTGCAGTCCCCCAGCAGGACAGCAGTGCTCCTCTGGGATGCAGCCAGCTTTCTGAGCTTTGTGGGGCTGGACAGTGTGACTGTCATCTGGGGAGATGAGAGTTATTGAGGGAGGAGCCTTGTGTGAGGTCAGCATCAGCAACTTGGAATGCTGGGTGTCTGTGGATTTTCCAAGTTCCCAGGGCATCTGAATATCAAAAGATGAGTTGAGAAAAATGAGGGTTGGGCAGAGGAGGAGGAAGATGAGGGGAGAGTTGGGTCCCAGGAGCCAGCAAGAGGAAGGACAACTCTGTGCCTTGACCTTGTGTGCCACTGAATTTGTGCTGTGGCCACTAGAGTCTTTGGCCAACAGCTCTATGAAGTTGGGGTGCAGCCTATTGTAGACATGTGAACGTGGAGGTAAGGATAAAGAGCAGGGCTCTGGCTATGGCGGGAAGCAGAAAAGGGACAATGGCCCAAAGGGAGATGAGGCTAACGAGCTGCTTTGCTCCATAGGTGGAGATGATTCAACAGAGAAAGAGTGATGATTAGAAGAGGAAGGAACAATCTGTGGAAGTCAGGCCCCAGAGGATTTGGGCCAGAGTAGGGTGCAGAGTTCGGTTTGGGAGCAGTAATGTGGACATGCCTGGGATGGGCACAAGGAGGTGTCTCCACCTGATGTTTCTTGGTATCCATGCTAGGAGAAAGGGAAAACCCTGAAGTGCCTGGGTAGGGGCCTGCTGAAGCCTGCATGCAGGAAGATAGAGGAGGCAGCAAGGGCAGCAAGGGTGAGGGTCTTCTTCTGCACTGTTGAGCTACTTGCAGACATGATGTTGCAGGGTCCCAGTGAACAGCAAGAAGCAAGGGATGATCAGAATGATGGACCATGGATTGCCACTGTACAAGGACAGCGGAGACACCAGCAGGGGTCAGTGGGGAGGAAGCACTGGGGGTGTCTGGTGAGGCAGAGGATTTGGCAGGGGTGAAGCAACACACCTGAGTGTGGAGGAAGGAATGAGGAGAAGTGGGAAGGAGACCCTCTCAGTGACAGCACAGTTCCTGGTGATGACTATGTCCAGGATGTGCTCTGGACGCCAGTGGCTAGAGGGGAGTGGAGAGGAGGGTGTCACAGACAAGGTGCTGGGGAGTCATCTGTGTGGGTTTTGAAGTCATGGAGAATGGCAGGAGTGGGGGAGACAGGAAGCCAGGAGCTACAGTCAGCAGAGAATGCAGGGAAGTGACCAGGAGAGAAGCTGATGACAGCTTTAGTGGGGAGAGGGTGGTGTCATTGAAAGCAGGCGCCTCAAAGGCATTATTGGGAGGAGGCCAAGAGGGAGCCAGCAGTGACTGCCCTGTGGCAGTTGCATCCTCAGAAAGCCAGGCTTCACATAAAACCAAAGGGAACCAGGCAGATGGTCCTGCTCAGCATAAGGATGTGGGTGCTTTCTATGCTGAGGTAATGCCAACTGGAAGGACACGCTGTGAACTCTCCTCACCCCTCTGTCTATCCACCGCCCATCTATCCATGTTTTATCTGATGTGCCATCATTTGTCTCTCCCACTTCTTGTACCTGTCCCTTGAGTCTTTGCCTACACATCCCATTTCGAGCTGAGGAACATGAAAACTGATTAGTGTTCCAATCAGGATCCCCATGGAGGACAGAGCAGAAACTGCCTGAATGATTATGGCTTTCCACAGGGAAGGGGCATGTGGACTAGACCTTCTCAAGAGATATATCTACAGGAAAGAATAAAAGCTGGGATGTCCCAGGTCAAAGGACAGGTGAGCAAAGCAGAAGCTTCAAAATATGAACAAGCCTGAACTTTGTGAGGAAGTTAAGAGGTCCTATGCCTCCCGCTTCCCAGGAGTTGAAGCTGAAGAGAAAGGGAGGGGTAGAAGGTGGCTGCTTATCTGCTTTATCTTGGAAAGGATAGAAAGCCACCATAGGAAGCTGCTCTGGCTCTCTAGCTTGTAGTTGCCAGGGCTGTATAGAGAGAGAGAGCACTCCAGGAAGTGGAGCCTCCAAGGTGGGGTCTCCACATGCCCCTGCTGCACCTCAGGTATGTGTGGCCTATATCCCACCATAAGAGTGCACACTGGGTCAGGTAGGGAGTGCTGGCCACTGCAGCTCCCCTGTGGTGACATGCAAGCCCCAGACCCAACGTCTAACTGGGTCTGTCAGCAGGGAGGGCACAGGACTTGCACCCTCACAGGTCCAGACCCACTTTCGTCATCTCCCCAATCTTCTGTAGCCTGGAAGACAGACCACCGTCCCTGATTGCCCGCACACTTGCCCAGCTGTCTCCCTAGCATGGCCTTATTCACTTGGACTGCCTAGGGAAATATTTCTTTCCCTCAAAGCCCAGCTCAGAGGTATGGCCCTGGGGACCCCTTCCTGGGCCCTCACTGTCCCAAAGGGAACCTTGTCTTGTGGGGCCACCTTGGCTTTGGTGTGAGTGCTTTCCTCAGCAGCCCTATCCTCAGTAGGGCACAAAGCTGCCAAGTGCCTGGCCCTCTGTTTTACTTGGAGGCCAAGCAGGGGAAGCAACTGAGAGCCCAGGGCCATTTCCAACTTGGGGCCAGGGCAGGTTGGCCTGAGTGTAAGGAAGAGTTGCTCTGAGCTCAGGAAGGAGGGCCTCGCTGCAGTCCTGCACGGATCAGGCAAGAAGCTTCTTTTGGGGGCAGGCCTCAGATTCCCTGTCTGCATAGTGAAAGTGGTGCTTGATGAGCATTTTTCAGCCCTGGTCTAGTGATACAATGGTGTCTAGAAGGGCCTAGTATGGAGTGAAACAGGATGGAAGAAGGGAGAGGCCAGCAGGCTGTGTCATCTGTAAGATGCTGAATGCCATCTTGGTGTGTGGAACGCACTGTCCTGGCATCCCTTAAGCTGGGCAGCTTGGTATCAGGGTGTGTAGAAATACATAAAGTGATGGTCCTCCAGACTCTACCCCACTCCGCAAGCTGCAAGGCAGGACCCTGAGGCCTCAGACATGTCTGGAGAGCAAAACACTTGGACCTCAGCCCCCCGTGTGTCCTGAGGGACTAAAAGAAGCTTAGGGCAGGAAAATGGGCTCTGCTACCCACCCCCTAGGAGGAGGACAAGGTCTTGTGGGGAGCGGGACAGGACACAGCACTGGGCCTCCAGCCACACAGTCCTCCCTTCCTGTTGTCTCAGGATGGTCCTGGCAGGATGCATCTGCCAGAGTTCCAGGCCCACACCTCCCCCAAGGTCTGCACCCACCCCCACCAGGATCCCTCCACAACTGCAAGGACCTAAGAATATGTCAGGTACATGACTACACATGCTTACACACACACACACACACACACACACACACACACACACACAGAGCAACACACACCACAGACACTCCAAGTCACACCCAGACCCACAAAGGCAAACATCTGCACACATGGAAGACCACTCCTCTCAACACGTGCAAATGCACACACCGTCCACAGGGAGGAGGCTGGGGGTACACAGCAGCAGGACAGGGGGCGTCCCAGGTGCCTGTGGTTATGAAGAAGTGCAAACGGGTAAAGCAGCCCACCTGTACACCTGAGGAAGAGCAACAGGGGAGACCAGCAAAAAGGGAGGCCTGGCCAGCAGAGAAGCAGGTGGAGCCATGAGGTAGACTGTTGGTACACAGGCAGAGCAGACAGGCAGGACAAGGCCTGGGAGCACTTGGGGAGGGCCTGGGATAAGCAGAGCCATCTCTGAGGATTGATGATCTAGAGTGTAGGGGGGATGGGTTTGAGGCAGAACTGTGGGTCTTGATGCCCCCCATACCCACCATAGGAAAATGCCAGAGGTCAGAGTTCAGTCCCACTGAAGTTGAGTCACTTGGGGCTGGCTCAGGCTGTGGGGAGGGGGTAGTCTGTGGTGGAACTCACTGGATGTCTTGGGGTATACATGGGGAGGCCTGGATGTGCCAACTGAGAATTGCCACTGTTCCTGCCTAGAAGAGGGGTCCTAGAAGGCCACACTGCCTAGAGCACACTAACCCTATTTCCCACCCCAGGCCTGGTGAGTGGCTACTCCATGACCCCCCCGACCCTGAACATCACAGAGGAGGTGCATATCATCAACACCAGTGACAGCCTGGCCATCTCCTGCAGGTACAGGGGCCTCCCACCTGGCAGCCAAGGAGGCCACGGAAGGCTGAGGCAGTTCCTTCCCAAGGCAGAAAAGCCAAGAGGGGCTCCCAGAATGGGGGTACCTGGAGGTTCTCAGACACAAGGACCTCCTGCTCACCCAGCCTCACCTGAAACACCACCCCACACCCCCAGCCACCCTTCACTGGTCCAGGCCAGTGTGCCTGTCACTGGCACAGGAACCAAGCAGAAGTCCTGTACCCTGGGCTGGTCCGGGGGTACATAAACTGCCCTGTTTTCGGTGGGATGCATGGTGGGCAATGCTCTTGGCCTGGAGGAGCCACCACAGAGACTGTCCCCATGGGCTGCAGCAGCAGAGAGTCCTCCTGACCTCTCCTGTCCTCTGACAGGGGACAGCACCCCCTTGAGTGGGCCTGGCCAGGGGCTTCAGAGACACTGACCACAGGGGAGAAGGACAGCAAGGACTCAGAGGTTGTACAAGACTGTGAGGGCACAGACACCAGGCCCTACTGCAAGGTGCTGCTGCTGAGCAAGACCCACGCCAACAACACAGGCAGCTACCGCTGCTACTACAAGTACATCAGCGCCCGCATTGAGGGCACCACAGCTGCCAGCACCTACGTGTTTGTGAGAGGTGAGGCAGGCAACATGTGAAGAGGCCAGGCATGGCCGGGCCCTGCCATGTCAGTGAGTGCCCTTGCTCACCTCCAGCCTGTCAACCCAAAGCAGGCCGGAAGGCAGAGAGAGATTCCCCCTACTCCCTGTGGTGGCAAGCAGCTGGTGTGGACTCACCAGTCACTGGTCAAAGACCCAAGCCTCTGCCTCCCTCAACACTGACTTTGTCTCCTCAGACTTCAAGCAGCCATTCATCAACAAAGCTGACACTCTCCTGGTCAATAGGAAAGACTCCATGTGGGTGCCCTGCCAGGTGTCCATCCCTGGCCTCAACATAACACTACATTCGGTACAGTTCCATCCCTGATCCAGCCTTCCTATTCCATCCCTGGGAAGGGTGGCCAGACCAGGGGGGCAGGGCAGCCAGGTGCTGACGGTTACCATGTTGCTCCAGCAAAGCTCAGTGCTGCGGCCTGATGGGCACGAGGTGGTGTGGGATGACCGCCGGGGCATGCGGGTGCCCACAGCACTCCTGCGTGATGCCCTGTACCTGCAGTGTGAGGCTAGCTGGGGCGGCCAGGACTTTTACTCCAGCCCCTTCCTCGTGCACATTACAGGTAGGCGCCATTCCGGGTCCTCTGGAGGAGGTAGCCCTCCCCATGCCTAGTAATGGGGCTTTAGGGGCCCCAGGGATTTGGGGGCATCCTCTGCTCTGGGCTCTGTGTATGGCACATGTCCCTGTGTACATGGCATGTGAGGGGCAGGGGAGTCACTGTGTGTATGTTGCCAGGCAATGAGCTCTATGACATCCAGCTGTTCCCTAAGAAGTCCCTGGAGCTGCTAGTTGGAGAGAAGCTGGTTCTGAACTGTACTGTGTGGGCCGAGTTCAACTCAGGTGTCACCTTCACCTGGGACTATCCAGGGAAGCAGGTGAGGCTGGTGGCCCTGCCAGAGTACCTTCCTTCTGCCCACAGCTTTCCTACCCCTTACCCCTTCACCTGTGACCCCAACCCCATCACCTGTACCCAGCACACGCTGTGCCTTTGTGGAAGAGATCCAGACCCAGCTAGTCTCAGAAACCCATCTGACAGGGAAGTTTTCCACCCCCAAAAAAACAGTGTAGGCTTCCAGAGCCACTGCCAGCTGGGCAGAACATGTGCCTTGATGGGTTAGCACTGCCAGAACCGCCTGCTGACCCTGGGCTTCCCCTGGGCGTGGGCAGGCAGATCGGGGTAAGTGGGTACCCGAGCGGCGCTCCCAGCAGACTCACACAGAGCTCTCCAGCATCCTGACCATCTACAACGTCAGCCAGCACGACCTGGGCCGGTATGTGTGTGAGGCCAACAACGGCATCCAGAAATTCCGGGAGAGCACCGAGGTCATTGTGCACGGTATGACCACCAGCATGTCCTGGGGCGGTTCCTAGAGGACAAAAGGGTCCCTGTATAGTGTGGGTCAGAGGTCACAGTGCACCTGCGCAGCAGGGAGTCCAGCCAGAGGAAAAAAGCGTGAGAGGAAGCCCTGCCCAGCTCATCACACTAGGGCACTGTGAGCCCCAGGCTTCAGGTGCTGGCTTTGGGGCTGCAAGGGCCACAGCTGAGGACCCTGGTCAGTGATGAGCCACCGCCAGATTTACACTGATGCCTCCTCTCTGGCAGAAAAGCCCTTCATCAGTGTCGACTGGCTCAAAGGACCGGTCCTGGAGGCCACAGCTGGAGACGAGCTGGTGAAGCTGCCTGTGAAGCTGGCAGCTTACCCGCCACCGGAATTCCAATGGTAACAGTTTGGGCCCCTCCCCATGCTTCCCTGCTAGTCCCAGAAGAATGGACTATGGGGCAAGAAGGGCAGTGTCCTTCCCCATTAGGGCCTCAGGGCTGCCATTCAGACAGGGACTCTAGGGAAATCCCCTAAGAGCATATGCAGAAATCAGTGTTTCAGGTGGAAGGAAGTTGGCCAGTGAGAGGTTTCAACACCAGCCTCTAGCTAGGGGGTGTGGCCGCACCACCTGTTGCATTGCTGAGGCCCTGCCAGCTGCCTGCTGCACACTGTGTGTGCTTGGGGCCCTAAAGTAGTGGCTTCGGCTGCTTCGTGCAAAGCTCAGGGGCACTCAGTACCACCTTTGGTGTTCTCTTGGCCCTCGAGCTATCCATGTGGCTCAGCCATGACAGGTCCTGCTGGCCTGAGACCCCATAGTACAGAGGAAAAAACAGGAACAAGTATCCCTGAAAGAGGGGCTGGACATTCAGAACTCATATCTGAGCCCCAGACCTCCTGAGATGGATGCCTGTTCTGTCCCGGCCCAGACATCCAGAGAAATTGGGTCCTTCCCAGCCCTCTGCACCAGAGCCAGGAAGGTGGCACAGCCGTGGTGCTGTTCATGCCCTTCTTTGTGACCCTATCAAGTCACCTCCCTCTGTGAGCCCTGACTCTTATCACAGTTGAGAGCAAGACTGCTGTGTCCCTTTACCACAGGCCTCTGTCCAAGAGCCACCCCTCCCCCAGGCCACTGCATGTGTCTCTGGCTTAGCATACCCAGCACCCAGAGACTCCTGCAGTCCAGAGAGATGGTTCCAAGGCCTTTGAAGATTCCCGTGGAGAACTAGGAGGAGGGCTCTGGGATGAGGCATCTCCACACAGTCTTAGAAGCATTGTTAGGGGTCAGGCACTGCTCCTTACATGGGCACACAGCTCAGAGTCCTGTGACAGGATAGACAGCAGACACATGCCTAAACACCGGTGTGCTGATGAGGGAAGACAGCACCAGGTGCCATGCTACTAAGAGGATCAATAAAGCATCTCTGATGAGACATACTCCAACCCCAACGAAGAGGGTAGGGAGCCCTGCCAGGTGCCATCTATAGGAACGAGTATCCCTGCAAAGGATGCAGTAAGTGCAAGGTCCTAGGGAGGCCACATGTCTAGAGAGCTCAAGGAAAGACAGTACTGATGACCCAAGAGAGGTTGGACCACCTAGCACAGTGAGGAGCTGGACTGGGCAGCACCCTTGCTCTAGTGCAGTCTGTGAGGAATGCACCTGAGTTTGCTGAGGGCGGCAGTTGGTCTCCCCATGCCAAAGCCCAGTGGATGTAGAGGAGTCAACCAGGGGAGACCAGGAAGTTGGGAGGGACCTGGGCTGGGCCTGGTGAGCCTGGCTGCAGAGAAACTTGGCCTCCTTGTTACCTGAGGACAGATCTCAGAGGCTGTGGGGTGTGCTGCTGCAGGCCTCTGGAATGTGTCTTGAGCCAGCTGCCTGACAGGGCTATGACACTTGGCAGATGGGGCCTGCAGACACTACCCAGAGCCTTGGCTCGCTGCCCCCAGACCAGAGCCTGCTACCCCAGCCCACACTCCTGCTGCCCTTGCTTGGATCCTTCAAAAGGGGCTGCTTGCTCTAGCTTAGCCCATGAGCTCTTCCTCTTCCTGCCCCACCAGCAGCACATACAGCCTTCCACATCCGTGCTCTGCATCTGTGGCTCAACAACCATAGACAGAAAATCCCTGAAAATCCCTTATAACCAAGCCTGTACAGATTGCTTTGGCTTTAAACATAACAGCAATTTATGTAGCACTTGCATCACATTGAGAACTGGGTCATCCAGAGATGGTTTGAAGGATGTGGAGGGCTGTGCATGGGTTCTGTGCAAACACTGCACCACTGTGCAGAAGAGACTTCAGCACCAAAGGAAGGAGTGTGGCATCCAAGTGGTCCTGGAGCCATTCTGGTTGGAGAAGGAAGCACAGGGCACCACACGGCCCTGAACTCCTTTCTGGGGCTAGGTACAAGGACAGAAAAGCAGTGACTGGACGCCACAGCCCACATGCCCTGGTGCTCAAAGAGGTGACTGAGGCCAGTGCGGGCATCTACACCCTTGCCTTGTGGAATTCTGCAGCTGGCCTGAGATGCAACATCAGCCTGGAGCTGGTGGTGAACGGTATGGGGCTGGTGAGGTGGGGAAGGGAGGGCAGGAGGGAGGTGTGGGTGTGCAGGATGAGGCTGGCTGATGCTCTGTACCTGTGCCCAGTGCCCCCCCACGTCCACGAGAAGGAAACCTCCTCCCCTAGCACTTACCCCCGCCACAGCCGCCAGGCCCTCACCTGCACGGCCTACGGGGTGCCCCCGCCGCTCCACATCCAGTGGCTTTGGCGACCCTGGACACCTTGCAAGACATTTGCTCAGCGCAGCCTGTGAGTACAACTTGAACCTTATTCCTTATTTCGTAGCCCCGTCCCCAGCCTCAGCCACTGGCTGCACAGTTCTCCCCAGTACCCTTCCTGGGAGCCCTGCTCAGAACTCAACCCCACCGTCGTCGCTTCTGTTGCCTGGGCTTTTGAGACCTTATTCTTGACATCTTGCTCAGACCAGTGTCAGGAAGCATTTTCCCTGCTTTTTTCTAAGGCTCCCACTGAAGTCTAACCTCTTTGGAGTTGACTTTTGTAACTGGTGAGATAGGGGTCTGCCTACTTTCAGTCTTCTGCATGTGGATATATGTTTTTCTTACCACATATTGCAGTGATGGTTCTTTCCCCAGTGTGTCTCCTCAGTACCTTTATTGACAATCAGTTATCTGTAAATGTTTGGATTCATTTCTGGGTTCTATTCTGTTCAATTAATCTGTGCATCTGCTTTTATACCACTACTATGCTGCTTTAGTTACTGAAGTATTGTGGTATGTTTTGAAATTAGGTAGTATGATATTCCAGCTTTGTTCATTTTACTCAGAATTTCTCTGAGTATCTAGGATGTTTTGTGATTCTATATAAATTTTAAGATTTTTTTCTATTGCAGTGAGAACATCACTGGCATTTTGATAGGAATTGCATGGAATCTGTAGATGGCTTTGGACAGGATGGACATTTTAACAGTATTAATTCACCAATTCAGCCCTAGCAAATTCCTGGCCTCATCTGGCCTGAGAAAAGCTCTGATCCTTCCTTATATTAGTCATATGCCAGCAACTTAGGCTGGCCAATCTTGGCTGGGCTAGCCCCACTTTCCTCCCTTGAAAGTGAAACCCTCTAAACGTGTCAGTGCACCACACAGGGAAGACAAATCACATCCCTCTGGGCACCAAGGGTGGCCCCTCCCACCAAGTGAGCAGGCCTGGGATAGTGTTAGAAAACTTCTGAGTCCCAGGACGCACCAAGCACACTCAAACACCTAAGCTCATCTGTGCAACTCACAGCTCCTCCCTTATAGATGGATAAACAGGGTCGGAGAAAAGAAACATAATTCTCAGTATCCTAACAATAAGCAACAAACCTTGTTGAACTGCAGGCCATGCTATCCTAACCTGAGCTGGACATCAACAACACAAGGAGGCAAAGAAACCACTTAGGGCAAAGATAACAGACATCAAGGGATAGGAGATGAGGGTACTACCGGCAGCAAGGGTCTCCAAGGCACAAGAAATGACTCTGAGAATGGTGCAGGGGTCTAACCCCTATTCCTTGATGGGCCCAAATGCCCATATCCCTGATCTGCCCTTGTCCTTCCTGGTCTATGGCAGCCGCCGACGGCAGCAGCGAGATGGCATGCCACAGTGCTGGGACTGGAGAGAGGTGACCATGAAGGATGCTGTGAATCCCATCGAGAGCCTGGATACTTGGACTGAGTTTGTGGAGGGAAAGAACAAGGTACAGGCCAGTCAAGCTCCTAGGCAGCCAGGGGATGAGGACGAGGTTGGGGCCTCTTATGCTTTCTGTTTCAACCTGGTCTGCAGAGATTGAGGAGCAGTAGCTGGGAGCTGGGTGACCCTTCTCAAAAGGGCCTGAGCTTCCCTGCATGTGAGTGGGGGCCAGGCCTCTGGCTGCTTCCCAGACAAGGAAGCCGAGTCCATTGCCTCCTGGTCAAGCTATGAGTGCTAGGGCTGGGAGAGGATGGGGTGAGGGCTGATCAGGGTTCCACAGAAGGCTGCTGAGCCATAGACCAACCTGGGGGCCATACTGAGAAGAGGCGAGGAGGGGGAAGGGGACCGAACAAAGGCACCCACTTCCTATGGTCACTTCCTGTTTTCGTACACACCTCCAGAGCCCCTTCCTGTTCCAGGCCTAGCCAGGAAGTGCCCGACTTGGGATGGGGGTGGGGGTCTTTGGGTGATAGGCAGGGCTTGTGGCCCTCTCTCCTCCCCTACTTTTTAAAAAGTCTTCCTACTCCAAAGCCAAAATCTTTGTGGAAAATGTAGGAGCCCACTCCCCTCAGACTTACCCTGGATGAGAGAGCTGCTTTGTGTCCAGAGGCTAATGTGGGCACAGTGACCCACTACTGGCTTTAGGCCACAGCTTCATCTCGCTGGTCCTTGATTTTAACCCTAGCTTGGACTCACCTGTTATGGGCCAACTCTGCATAGGAACCAGATCAGCCAGATAGAAATTTGAATAGAGCCTTTTAATTACTGAGCTCAGGTCCGTCAGCCACTTCTCTCACAGGAGAAGGCTGATCAGCCCCGAACATAGGTAGCAAGGGGGTATTTATGACAGAAATCACATCCAGTTTGGTAAGCAAATTTGTTATCTAGTATAGAAGAACAGAAACTGCATTTATTTGACACAGCTGTAAACTGCTTATAATGAAAAGGTCTTTTACATCACCCAGCTGCCAAGCTGGTTCCTGGCCCCACAGTGTGCCCACTGTCTGAGTCCACTCACAGACAGAATTCTCTCTGGTCCAGCCAACACTGTCCTCTGACCTTTACACAGCCTAGGCCAGATGCCTGTACACTGACCGTTGGCTTTTTGGGGAGTTTCCCCTCTGTTGTGTGAATACCTTCCCTTCTCTTCCTTGCCTCATTGCTCCAAGTCTTCTCCAGGTGCTGCTCACTGCCAGCCCCAAACTTGACTGGTGGGCCCCGGAGACTCCTTCCAGAAGGGGAGGGTCCAGATTGGTAGAACTAAGGCAAAAAATGGATGTGTGTGTCTATACCCTGTGCAGACGGTGAGCAAGCTGGTGATCCAGGATGCCAACATATCTGCCATGTACAAGTGTGTGGTCTTCAACAAGGTGGGCCAGGACGAGCGGCTAATCTACTTCTATGTGACCAGTGAGTGACCGGAGAGACCCAGGGAGGCCCATGTTCCCTGAGCAGCCCTGGTCGCAGGGTCAAGGGCAAGGCTTGGTTTTGCCCAGTTTCTGCAGACCATGGGACATCCAGGGGAGGTGCCCAGCACCATGGGACCCTAGCCCTGGGCAAAAAGGTTACATGTAGTTCAATAGCACATGGATTGGGTGACAGGACAGGAGATAGCACCTTTGCCCTCAGCCCTGGAGGAGTGTCCTCCTGCTCACTGCAGCTCCTCCTAGCTCTGCCCTCGTCCCTCCCCCTTCTCAAACTCCAGAGCTGTGTGGTTCGCATGTGCATTTTGCCTTGGAGATAACTCCATGGTTTACACAGACTTCACATGTATTGGTGACTCAGAAGACCTGAGGAGCCCAGAAACTCAGAGTGTAGATGAGGGCTCTCCAAAGACTAAAACTGAGGGAACACTGGGGTCAGAGCAGAGCCCACAGGAGCCTAGCAGGAGGTAACCAGAAAAGCAGAAGAGGCACTGGCAAGAGCTACTGATGAAACTGTTTCATGGAGAGGAGAGTGGTGGGCTGTGGTCATGAAGAAGACAGCACAAAGACTTAGGGCTCCCTGGTTCTGATGACTAGGAGCTCCAAGATGTGGGCTCCCTGTCCAGGAGCAAATAAAGAGGCAGGAGTCCCAGGGCTGGGGCTGGCTGTGGAGAGGGGCTTCCTGGGTGAGGGAGAGGGAGGACAGGGCAGTGATGGGCTATGGGTGGGATGATTATGGGATACACAGTTCCCAACCTTGGTTAAGAACTGGAGGAGTTCACAGGTGATAGCAAAGGGGCCTTTGGATAGACAGCAAAAGTCTGGGCAGTGTCACAGGGCTTCCCCACTCCCCAGCCATCCCTGACGGCTTCAGTATTGAGGTGGAGCCCTCCGAGGACCCCCTAGAGGGCCAGTCAGTGCGCCTCAGCTGCCAAGCTGACAACTATACATATGAGCATCTGCGCTGGTACCGCCTCAACCTGTCCACACTGCATGATGCTCACGGGAACCCACTACTGCTCGACTGCAAGAATGTTCACCTATTCGCCACACCGCTAGACGCCAGCCTGGAGGAGGCTGCACCTGGAGCGCGCCACACCACACTGAGCCTCAGCATCCCACGTGTGGCCCTGGAGCATGAGGGTGACTACGTGTGTGAGGTGCAGGACCGGCGCAGCCAGGACAAGCAGTGCCACAAGAAGTATCTGTCAGTGCAGGGTGAGGAGCACCAGGCAGCAGGAGGGCCTCAAGGGCAAGCAAAGAGCACCTCCTGCTCACACTGCCTCGCGCACTGCATCCTGTAACCCCTGTCACCCTCACACCCCATGTGCCTTCTCTGAGCCCTGCAGCGTCGTGTCCTGTGGTGCCCTCTTGCTTCTGTGGGGCCACTTCACCTCCTCACCCCCGCCCCCAGGCCTGGAAGCCCCCCGGCTCATGCAGAACCTAACCGACCTCCTGGTGAATGTGAGTGACTCCCTGGAGATGCGGTGCCCCGTGGCGGGAGCACACGTGCCCAGCATCGTGTGGTACAAAGATGAAAAGCTGCTGGAGAAAGAGTCTGGTGAGAAGAGTGGCACTGAGCACCGGGTGGGAGGCCTGGGAGGCCAGCACTCCTGAGTTACTTGCACTTGTACCGCATCCCACCTGGGCAGGAATCGACTTAGCAGACTCGAACCAGAAGCTGAGCATCCAGCGTGTGCGGGAGGAGGATGCTGGCCGCTATCTGTGCAGTGTGTGCAACGCCAAAGGCTGTGTCAACTCGTCCGCCAGCGTGGCAGTGGAAGGTCAGCCCCACTCTGACCCTGCACCCCCACTGAGCCACCTCTTGTGGCCACCTCTAATGAGCTGTGTCACCACGAGGGGGGGTTCCCCCAAGGCTAGCCACTCATGTGTGAGCACACATGCATATGCACACACTTTTGCCCACTTAGGCTCCGAGGATAAAGGCAGCATGGAGATCGTGATCCTTGTTGGCACCGGTGTCATCGCTGTCTTCTTCTGGGTCCTCCTCCTCCTCATCTTCTGTAATATGAGGAGGGTGAGCACCCTGCCCCTGCTGAGCCATGTACTGGGTCTCTTGCACATCTCCCCCCTTTGGCCTGAGCAAGGCCCTTATCCCGGTTTCCGTGGCAGCCCCTCCAGGCCATCTGTTCTTGCACACTGGGCTCCAGCACACACTCATGCAGGTGTTCTCTCAGTCTGACCTTTCCTTGGTGGAATGCTCCAAAGCAAGGGTCACCTGTCACGGGCAATGTCAACTGAGCCACGGTGGCATGACTACAGCAGTGATCTCGTCCCACCCATCCCAGCCAACCCACGCGGACATCAAAACGGGCTACCTGTCCATCATCATGGACCCCGGGGAGGTACCCTTGGAGGAGCAGTGCGAGTACCTGTCCTATGACGCCAGCCAGTGGGAGTTCCCGCGGGAGCGACTGCACCTGGGTGAGGCCTGCAGCCTGTGCACACCACTGAAAGCTCTCAGTCCTCAGAACTTGAGCCAGAAAGGCACCCATCTCCACCTGGCCAGGTCTGCTCCATCTGGCCTGTGTCCTCAACCCGCACCAGGTCACCGGCTTCCCAGGCCCAGGTTACTTCCTCTGCTCTGAGCAGGGTGACCTGCCCGCCTGTTGGAGAGGTTATGAGCCTTTCTCCCCTCTCCCCTGCGCTCCCGAGCTCTTCCTGCTTCCTTTCCACCCTTCTCCTGCACATCTCACCTGGAGCCAACCCACAGGGAGAGTCCTCGGCCACGGGGCCTTCGGGAAGGTGGTGGAAGCCTCCGCCTTTGGTATCAGCAAAGGCAGCAGCTGTGACACCGTGGCTGTGAAAATGCTAAAAGGTGCGAGGTCTCCTGGGTGAGAAGCCGCAACTGGGACGGGATTGCGGTACAGAAAGGGGGCCCGAGGCTCAGAACTAGCATCCCCTGTGAGAGTCTGCAGGGAGACGGCGGGAAGCAGACCCCCGCCTCAGTGGGACTAGCAGAATGTGTGGGGACCCTGCGCCCGCCCCCACCTCGCTCAACCAGTGTAGCTGAGGCTCAGGAAGTCTAGAGGAGTCCGGGCAGGCTCTACCCGGCGCTAGGCCTCTGCGTTCCCTCCAGAGGGCGCCACGGCCAGTGAGCACCGCGCGCTGATGTCGGAGCTCAAGATCCTGATCCACATCGGCCACCACCTCAATGTGGTCAACCTGCTGGGGGCGTGCACCAAGGCCAACGGTACTGACTGCGGCCCTCGGGGGTGGGAGGAGCCCACGGTGTGCCCCCGGGACCCTGCTCTCCTGCATCAACTCCCACGCGTCCGTTCTGCCCGCCCCAGGCCCCCTCATGGTGATCGTGGAGTACTGCAAGTACGGCAACCTCTCCAACTTTCTGCGTGTGAAGCGCGAGGCCTTCAGCCCCTACGCGGTAAGAGGCGTCTCTGCTGAGGCGGGTGCGGGGCACCTCTGCTGTGGGAGGCGGCCCCCTCCGACCCGCTCGGTGCCGTCCTGCAGGAGAAGTCGCCCGCGCAGCGGAGGCGCCTCCGCGCCATGGTGGAAGGGGCTGAGGCTGACCGGAGAAGGCCTGCAAGCGGTGACCGGGCTCTGCTCACCCGGCTCCTGATGGGCAAGGGAGGGGCGGGCCGGACTCCTCCAGCCCGAGAAGGTAAGAGCCTGCCTCTTCCTGACCATCGCTCGGCGCGGGCTGCGGAGCACACCTCAGAATCAGCACCCTGGGATAACTCAGCCTCAGGGAGGGGCTTCTGCGAGGAGCGCAATGGGGGCTGCCTGAGGAAGGACATCTTGGAGTTTTCAGAGGTGTCTGACCTTTGACGTGGGTATCATAGGATGAATAGACATTTGCCTCGCAGACAAGGTGAGGGAACAGCCCAGCCCAGGTGCAGAGGCCCGGTGGTTCCATGGTCCACTGCTCTAGAAACAGCAAGTGCTAGTCTTAGTGGAGGCAGAGGGTCAGGAGAGGGGCACAAGTCAGGAAGAGGCTCCTCTCAACTCCACGCCTTCCTTTGTGCAGCCGAGGACCTGTGGCTGAGCCCTCTGACCATGGAAGACCTTGTCTGCTACAGCTTCCAGGTGGCCCGGGGGATGGAGTTCCTGGCTTCCCGCAAGGTATGTCCCCTAAATGCAGCAGGCTGTTTAAAGGGAAAGGGCACAAGCCCATCCCAATGCATAGCTTTGCTCATTTCACAACAGCCCTACAGTCGATCAGTAGTACTCCCATTTTATAAGAGAGGAAACTGAGCCCAGTGTGAAGCATTCCCTTCTGGGGGCCTCCTGCCTAGTCAGTGCCAGACCAGATGCAGGATCACTGTAGCTGCCTCCCTTTGTTTCCCTTCTGGGAACACACAGATCTTCCCCGACAGAGCAGGACTCTCACATCCTCTGGGCAGCCTGGAGGTCCAGGTGTGGGTGTCATGTGGGGCCTGAGCCGAACATTCCACTACCTTCCTGCACCCCAGTGCATCCATAGAGACCTGGCTGCTCGAAACATCTTGCTGTCTGAAAGTGATGTAGTGAAGATTTGTGACTTTGGCCTTGCCCGAGACATCTACAAAGACCCTGACTACGTCCGCAAGGGCAGTGTAAGTGCAGACCACCAAGAGGAGGGTACATGGGTGCTGGATAAATGGGGAGAATATGGCCACAGGAGCAGGAACAGTGGTGCTGGTTCAGACTCCTTGTTCTGCCAACCCACCTGCTCAGCTGCTGGGCGTCTCACTACCTCCAGAGCCCTTGGGCAGCACAGGGAGGCAGGTGAAGATAGGAGCTTGTGTTGTGCCCAGTTCCTGTCCTTGGGTGGATGCTGGCTCCCTGTGCTTGCCACGTTGGGCCCAGGTATACAGATGCACACATCCGCCCATTTGTAACACGCAGGCAGTGCCTGTTGGAGCATCTGTGGCTGATGAGGGCTTGTGCTAGTAAGGGGGAGTAAGAGGCCTGGGGGTTCCAGGCTGTGTCATGGCTGCTTTGTTCAGCACAGTTCCTGTGGACAGCTTGACCCTCCTATTCTTCCTCACAGGTGTGTGATAGCAGGTGGAAGTGAGGGTCCCTATGTAAGCTGAAAGGAAAGAAGACCAGGACTTGGGGTTGGGCAGAGCCAGTCCCAGAGGGCTGTGTCCCTTGCCACTCCCAGAGAAAAGTGATGAACGGGAGGGAGACAATAGGGAAGAGGCACCTGGGGCCAGGAGAAACACCCTCATCCTAGTGAGGGGACATAGGGAAGGGGTGAGAGTACTGGTGGGGAAGGGGGTGAGGGTGTACAAGGGTACTGTACCTCAGGGGTGGGGTGGGGCCATGGTCCTGGAGCTGGAGGAAGAGATGCAAGAAGGACGCCCAGGACAACTCAGGGGACCTGAGGTCTGGACTGACAGAACAGCTACAGGGAAGAACTCTTCAGTCCAGAAGGAAAGGACGCAGTGGGGCCTGGGGCCTTTCTTCCCTGTCCATGGAACACACACACACACCCCCCCCCCGACTCCCCAGGCCCGGCTGCCCCTGAAGTGGATGGCCCCCGAGAGCATCTTTGACAAGGTGTACACCACACAGAGTGATGTCTGGTCCTTCGGCGTGCTGCTCTGGGAGATCTTCTCCCTGGGTGAGTGCAGGCAAAGGTCCCTCCTCCAGCATGTGTTGTCAGCCCTTCTGAGGCCAGTGCAGGGCACCCAGAGCAAGCAGCCCAGGTTTGTCATTGGCCACTGCAGTACCGCCTCAAGCCTGGGCCAGGGCAGAGCCTGGGTCTCTGCAGTGGCCCCAGCTCTCCATGGGTCCATTCAGTGAAGACACCTGGTATGCAGGGGGCACATGGGGGCATGACAGCCCAGACTCCATGCTAGGGTGGAGGGAAGAAGTAAAGTCTAACAAAATGGCAGTGACAGTGCTGTCAGTGAAGATAAATGTGCTGAAAGTCTAGGAACTCAGAGGCTCTGTGCCAGGGGACCTGGAAGCTGGGAGTACAGCTGAGTGGGAAAGGGCATGCTTACATGCACTAGGCCCTGGGCTTGATCCTCAGCACCCCAGAAAGAAAGGAAGGGAGGAATAGAGAAGACGGGTGGTCTGGGGGGAACACAGTCCAGGTAAGGAAAGTGGGCAGGAGCAGCCAGGGTGGTGTCCATGCAGTAGAAGGAAAGAGAGGCTTTGTTCAAAGGCTTAGCTCTGTGCAGTCCCATCAGCCCCAAGGATTCCAAGAACTGTGACTTCACTGGAGAAGGGAGAGGGTGCATGTTGCATGGGCCCCAGGAGCAGCTAGGTGAAGCCTGTCTTTATCCTGCCTCTGGGAAGAAAGGAAGGGAGAAGGGGACAGGACAAGGGTGATTGGGAGGCCGTTTCACCCCTGGCCACCCCTTCCTGCTGGCAGGGGCCTCCCCATACCCAGGGGTGCAGATCAATGAGGAGTTCTGCCAGCGGCTGAAAGATGGCACCAGGATGAGAGCCCCTGAACTGGCCACTCCTGCCATGTGAGTCTCCTGCTGGCAAGCAGGTACTAGGGAACAAGGGGACCTGTATATGGAGAGGGTTATTGGCCATGAGAAGAGGCCCCTGCCTATGGACACACAGTGATAGTAGTCACAGAGCCCTAACTTGGACAGGGAGGCACAGGTGCCTCGAGAACTGACAGGAGCCAGAGTCACCAGAGACAGCATCCCCCAGAATGGGCATGGAGGTCACACTTGCTGAAGAGCAACAGGCCATTAGAGAACTGTCTAGATGGGAGGGATAGCTAATGGCAAGCCTTACAGGGGAGAGCAGAGTGTGCGTGAGGGCTGAGCTCAGTCTGTTTTGCTTGCCTTTTAAAAAAATATCTGAACCTGGGCACTTATAGAGAAGAGGTTTACTTAGCACAGTTTTAGAGTCCAAGAGCATGGCAGCAGCACCTGCATGGCTTTGGGGAGGGCATTCAGTGACATCACTGTATGGAGACAACACCGTGGAGGGACATGGAGAGTGGGAGAGGCCATACAGTGAGAAGGCGAGACACTGGGGGACCAGCTCTGTCACAACCTGCTCCCAGCAGGACCCACTTGCTGCACTCAGGAGTCAGTTGCTGAGGCTGGGTTCCACCAAGGGTCACTCAGGTCACATCTGAACCACTGCAGGAGACAGGAGACGGGAGGCCTGGCCGGCTGGTGGGAGGCCAAGGTGCACCCTGCACAGGCCAGCAGCTAGCTTTCCCCACAGACGCCGCATCATGCTGAACTGTTGGTCTGGAGACCCCAAGGCAAGGCCTGCCTTCTCAGAGCTGGTGGAGATCCTGGGTGACCTGCTTCAGGGAGGGGGCTGGCAGGTGAGCCCCAGCTCCTCCCTACCCTGGGGCCTGCCCTGGATGTGCCTGAGCGCTGCTCACGTCTCAGCTACCAGGCAAGGCCACGTGGGTCAGGGCTCAGGTCCCTGGCCTTTCCTCTTCCCATGCCCAACTGCTGCACAGGGGTACTGAAGCATCTTCTGCTGGGACAACACCGGCAGCTGCCTGGTGGTCACTGTTAATTCCACAGGGCACCCAGGCTGGCCCTCCAGGGCCTGCAGAGCAGGCCATCTGCCTGGTACAGCAATGGATTTCTCCACCCCCTCCCACCTACTGGGTACACTGGCCACAGACCTGTGTGTCCTGAACATCCCTCAGCAGTGGTGCTCAGACAGGGTACCATGTGCTCTGGAACCTGACAGAGCACCCAAGAAGCATCCTGCACCCGAGCCTCACCCCATAGCCAACCCTCAGGGACCAGGGATAAGATTTTGATACCAGTCTGCCCAAGAAAAAAATGACATCCCCTAACTGGTCCCCGAGCTACAAAGGCATCCAGAGGGCCCAAGAGAAGAGGCTTTATGAGCCCAGCCCACTCACTTGTCTAGTCTGCAGATGGGGAGCTGGAAGGCTATTGGGATTGTTGAGTGAGGCTAGCCCACAAGCCCTCAGCACCCTTGACCTGGCCCACACCAAGCCCTGCTCAGGTAGCCCCACGTGACCCCATATCCAGTTAGGACTCAGCAGTCCTATGTGCAGGGGTGGGGTTGCAGGGCAGGACGCAGGGTGGCCTCCGGGCCCAGCTACTTCTCTAGTTCCTGCCAGGAAGAAGACGAGGGCTGCATGGCCCCGTGTGACTCTCAGAGCTCGGAGGATGGCAGCTTCTTGCAGGCGTCCACCACAGCCCTGCACGTCACTGAGCCAGACAGTGGGGGCAGCCCGCCAAGCACACATCACCACAGCCTGGCTGCCAGGTTAGCCACCTCCCCCCTCTGAGCACTGGGCACAGGGCATGGGCAGAGATCAGTTTGGAGGCAGCTCTTTTATCTTCCTGAGTCATCAAGGAAAAGCAACTGACACTAACTCGAGGGACCACTGGATGCCAGAGTGAATGGCCGTCCTGGCACCAGTGTACTCATGGGTCCTGCCTACTGTGGGGCTTCCCTAAGCTGCATGGCCTCCCCACTGTGCTTTGCTTACAACCTCTGCACTCCACACTGAGTGCCAGTGTCTTAGCCCATTTTCCATTAGTGTAACAAAATACCAGAGGCTGGCATTTCAGAAAGAAAAGGGTCACCTAGCTCACCTAGTCCTGGAGGCTCAGGGCATGGCCCTGGGATCTCTTTGGCTCTGAGCAGAGTCTCATGGCAGCTGTCATCATAGCAAGAGCCCATGCCTGTGTGGGACAGGAAAAAGAGGTTCAGTGGCCAGACTGGTTTGTTTTGTAGCTCCTTACCTTGGGCAGACACTCCCAAAGGAGCTACATTAATCCCTTCCAGGTGGAAAGCTCCTAGGACTTAGTTACCGTGCATGAGGCCTCTACCCTTAAGGGTCCCACCCTCAACCTAAAGCCCTGCACAGAACCTTAGGGACACACTCAAGCCATGTGCAAGCCAAGTTGCCTCCAAAGAACTGCCCGCCTAAGTTTCAAGAGTGGCCATCCTGGGCACCTGCAGGGAGACAATGTGAGGGGGCCAGGTTTGAGCCAAGACTCCTCCCAGCGCCTAATCATTTAGCTCCTGGGCAAATCCCAGGAGCCACTGTCGGGGACACTGGGAACAGAAGAAGCCACTCATTAACCACATTTGGGAATGAAGACCTAGCCTAAGTTCCCCAGTTCTGGGCTGAGGTCTCGAGCCTTGGCAATTCACACCCTGAGGGGGGTGGTACTATCTGTACTCCTACCTCTCAGCTGGAAGAAATAGGCACTGAAAGTCCTGCCCTCCACCACAGTTCTGCACCCTGCCCCAGGTGCAGGGGACAAGACAGGAGCTGGTTCCTGCCTGGCTCCTTCCAACCCTTCTGCCACACACATGTGCAGGCAGACCTGCAGCCGCACACACCTGTGCATGCACACACAGACCTGCCAGTTGTAGCCCACCACAACTAGCTCTGTGTCCCACTCCCCTCCAATGCAGCCCTCTCTGGGGACTGAAAGGTTCCATCCTTATAGGGGATAGGATATAACTTGGATGGGCTGGGGAGATGGCTCAGTAGGATAAGCGCTTGACTGGATATAACTCGGAGGAGAGAAGGCACTTGCTGGAACCCCTCCACAGGGGCTGTGTGATGGGCATCTGAGCCAACCCCTCTTATCCCTGCCCCTGCAGCAGGGCCTTCCTGGAGGAGACAGCAGGTGGTAGGGGAGCCTCCGAGGAGTCTAGTGTGTCCTCCAAGCACCCACTGTTTCTCCCTACAGATACTACAACTGTGTGTCCTTTCCTGGATCTCTGGCCAGGGAGACTCAGACCCAGGGTCCCTCTAGGATGAAGACATTTGAAGAATTCCCTATGACCCCGACTATCTGCAAAGCCCCTGTGGTAAGGACAGGGTAGGAGGGGATACACAGCTTAGATCCTGAGGCAAGTGGCAGAAATCAATCCTTTATAGTATTTGTTTAATCTTTAATTAATGTGTATGAATTGTGTGTGTTAGTGGAGTTGTGTGTGTTAGTGGAGTCATTGTGGCCTAGGCAATACCACCCTTCCCTCACCACCCTTCCAGCTCATCCCAATCTCTAGTAATCACTGCTCTGCTTTCAGGGCAACGTGTATTAGCTGCTGCCTATGAGAGAATATGCAGTGCCTGCCTTTGTGTCTTGGTCATCTCATTTCTAGTTCCATCCATGCTGCTACAGATAACAAGATTTCCTTCTGTATGTCTGGCTAATACTCCACTGTGTATGCATTCCACATTTGCTCTGTCTAGTCATCCATTCACATCTTATTGTGAACAGTGCTCTCTCGAAAAAGCAAAGGTAAAAAGGGCTGGGGAGGTAGCTGAGTGTAAAGGTCCTGAGTTCGATCCCTAGCACTAGAAAAAAAGAAGGAAGGGAGGAAGGGAGAGAAGGAGGAAGGAGGGAAGTGAGCGAGCTTGGGTGTGCAGGCATCTCTGGTGACATTTTGAAAATGGTGAGGCCAGGATTTGCCTCCTGGCCTAAGGTCTAGGCACACATGCAGTGCCCTGATGCACTGCTCTTGCTCTGTTCTGTCTCTGTCACTCAGGGCTCCCTGCCAGCAGCCCCAAGCCCTCTCCTTGCAACATAGAAACCCCAGTGGAGAGACAGTCACCACCTCAGTTACACTGACATCAGCCCGAGTCATGGCCCAGACCTAGCTCTGTGTCTCACAGGCCAGATGAAGACATTGGGGTCTTGAACTCAGAAATTTTCAGTTCTCCTCTCTGGGGTTCAGGATAGAAACCACACAAGCCATATATGAAAGCCCTACTAAAACTAGGATCTCTCCTGGATGGTCATTAAAAAAAAACTGTGAGCACCCAGACTTCTCCTAGCTATTCCATAATTTCTGTTGTTCCTGCCCTACCCATGCCCTGAGCACATGCGGGTCGCTGACACAGCACAGCTCCCCTGGACCTCAGCTTCTCCTGGCACGGTGTAGACTGCGACCCCCATCTGCGTGCTTAGGATGGAGCAGATGTCCCTGGCCAGCTCAGCTCCCATGGGGTGGGCTGAGGTTCCTGGCAGCCACAGCTGATTGTTGATTCCTTCTGCGCAGGATAACCAGACGGACAGTGGAATGGTGCTGCCCTCTGAGGAGCTCGTACAGATAGAGAGCAGACCCAGACGAGAAGGCAGCCTCAGGTAAGCACCGACAAGCCTCCCCTCAGTGGAGTGCTGCCCTCCCTGCAAGGCCTGCCTGAGCCCCACCGTTCTCACTGTGGCTCCTGTTACTCGTCTGTGTGCTCAAGGCAGGCTTCTGAGACTGAGGTCTTTGGCACCCAGCCCTTCCTCCACACCCTCATCCCAACCCTGCAGCACCTCCCTCCGCGCAGCTCTCTGCTCCCTGCCATGTGGCCAGTGCACACCCCGTACACCACACAGCTGGCCGGAGCCCCTAGTGGCAGCCCAGTTCCCTTGGAAGCCAGGCAGATAATGTAAGCTGAGAAATCCCACAGTGTGCCAGGACCAAGGGGGGCCTGCGTAAGAGGTGATTCTACTCACCTATCAAGACAGCCCACCAGAAGAAAACCAGTTGGGCCACTCAAACAACTTAAATGTCTGCTTGAGACATTTTATTTATTTGTCTAATTCTGTTCTATTCTGAGGTATTCTGAGGTGTTGGGGGTCGAACCTAGGACCTTCATGTGGAACTTAACACTTTTTATGTTGAGATGAGGTCTCACCAAGTGACTGTGTAGCCCTGCTTCTGCCTCCCAGAGTGCTGGGTTAACAGGCAGCCCCCACCATGCCTGGCAAACACATTTGCTTCATTAGTTTACTAATGTATACCTGTCCAAATAATAGACTCTCTGAGAGCGCATGACAGTGTTCTTGAGACAATGACTGGGTGGAAGGTAACAGAGCTCCTGGTAAGAGTACGAGATACCATGAGTGTAGCTGCTGTCACAGAGCAGGAGCAGGAAGCCAGTGCTGCTTGGTGGTGATGAGAGAGGAAGGTCCAGATGACAAATGTCCTGCAGAAGCAAGTTAGTGTCCAGAACTCAGAAACTCAGAAGACAGACAGACAGACAGATACACACACACACACACACACACACACACACACACACACACACACGGGACTTGTTCAGTATAGAAACTATACCTCAACAACAGTGGCAACAGGTTTGCCTGGGTTCCCTTGGAAACCCATCACTCTAAGCCATAGAAGGAGACAGTAGATCACCTGGCCGGGATATCTGTGGCACATGTAAAGTTCACTAAATAGGTGCCAGGACAGAATGTGCCTGCAAGCACCTCTGAGGGGAGAAGGCAGTGACTGGCCTGGGCTTTTCCTGTCTCCTGTGAACCCTTGGCCTACACTGACCTTGCGGGGTGCCAACTCTTTCTCACTTCCAGGCTGCCCCTCTCCTCTGCAGTGACCATTCAAGATCCTAGCTTCCACACCCTGCACAGTGGTACTCCATCCAAGTCTATAGTGAAAGGGGAATCTGGAGAAGCTGGGCTTGTGGTGGCTCACATGGCTGTCTGGCAACAGCCAATGAGAAAGCCAACACTCTTTGGGTGAGTGTGGCTGCCCCTCCATGGTGGTGTGGTACTGGACAAGAATGGATGCTCAGGGGCCGGGGAGTTGGCTCAGTGGAATAAGCGCTTCCCTGGCAAGCGCAAGGGCCTGAGTTCAATACCCGGTTCCACCAGAAAAAAAATTAAAATAAAAAAATGAAGTGATATAAAAAATGTGTAGAGTAAAGCATAGACATAAAAAGAGTCAAGAAGATAAAATTGAAATAAAGAAGTTGGGCTTGCTTGGCAAGCACAAGGACCCAGGTCCAATCCCCAGTACTGTATGCTGCACCAGTCCCAGAACACCAGGCACAATGTGCCAGCTTCAAAACCAGGCGTGGTGGTGCATGCTTGTAAGCCCAGCGCTGCAGAAGCTGAGACAGGAGGATCTCTATGAGTCTGAGCTGCATAACAAGACCCTGTACCAAAGAAAGAAAGAAAGGGAAAGATCAGAAACAAACTAATAGACATAGATGAATAGAAGACATAAATATGTGTAAAATCAAAGTCCCTGAGGAGTAAAGTACAACTATTATGTTAAACTTATAGTTCAAAATAAGAACCTGTAAGTAAAAGGACACGGGAAAATAGGCCCACAAAAATCAACTGTGACATAATCTAGTAGAACTATTCTGCTTCAAAGATAAAGAATGATAAACTTGAAGCCTTAACATTGAAGTGGATGCCACTTGAGAATATACTCATGAGTGAAATAAACCAGACACACGTGTGTAAATATTGTATAATTTCCCTAGTATAAGAACTCAAAAGAAGAAATACAAATAGAAAGGTATAATACAGCTAAAAGGAAAGCAAGAACTTGAGGACTAGACAATGAAAAGAGAGCAAGGAGAAGAGCTAGGAAACATGATGGGGCAAGCCATACAGTTATATGTAGAAGATGGGCAAGGCAATGACCCTGAGAATCTTCAGATTTTTGAATTAAGCAATTTACCGGAATGATTCTCACCCTGACTAACTATATATACTGACACCTGTGAACTAAGCAACTGCACTTAAGATGGTCAAATAGTAGTTTCATGCTTGGAGTGCCTGTCATTCTGGTCTTCTGAATACGGGCTGCTTGTCATGACATGCCAGTTGCTGCTGTGCTGTCTCTCAGGTAGATGATTGTTCAAACAGAAGGGGGTGGTGAATGAAGGCAGGAGACAGGAAAAGGAATGTTGTG